AGTTTAAAGCGAGAATGAAATTTATTTTTAGAGGGTAGTTTTAGGGTTGCTTATACATCATTTAAACATAATCGATCAAAGAAATAAAAATATTTGGCGCACCCCAAAAGTTACAACCCTCGCCGTCGAGGATTGCCATGTATTTATATGAGAATACCGTAGAAAATTAAGTAAGTTTAAAGCGAGAATGAAATTTATTTTTAGGGGGTAGTTTTAGGATTGATTATAGATCACTTAAACATAATCGATCAAAGAAATAAAAATATTTGGCGCACCCCAAAAGTTACAACCCTCGCCGTCGAGGATTGCCATGTATGTATATGAGAATACAGTAGAAAATTAAGTAAGTTTAAAGCGAGAATGAAATTTATTTTGTAGAGGGTAGTTTTAGGGTTGCTTATAGATCACTTAAACATAATCGATCAAAGAAATAAAAATATTTGGCGCACCCCAAAAGTTACAACCCTCGCCGTCGAGGATTGCCATGTATGTATATGAGAATACAGTAGAAAATTAAGTAAGTTTAAAGCGAGAATGAAATTTATTTTTAGAGGGTAGTTTTAGGGTTGCTTATAGATCACTTAAACATAATCGATCTAGGAAACAAAAATTTTAGCGCACCCCAAAAGTTACAACCCTTGCCGTCGAGGATTGCCATGTATGTATATGAAAATACAGTAGAAAATTAAGGAAGTTTAAAGCGAGAATGAAATTTATTTTTAGAGGGTAGTTTTAGGGTTGCTTATACATCATTTAAACATAATCGATCAAAGAAATAAAAATATTTGGCGCACCCCAAAAGTTACAACCCTCGCCGTCGAGGATTGCCATGTATTTATATGAGAATACCGTAGAAAATTAAGTAAGTTTAAAGCGAGAATGAAATTTATTTGTAGAGGGTAGTTTTAGGGTTGCTTATAGATCACTTAAACATAATCGATCAAAAAAATAAAAAAATTTGGCGCACCCCAAAAGTTACAACCCTCGCCGTCGAGGATTGCCATGTATGTATATGTGAATAAAGTAGAAAATTAAGTAAGTTTATAGCGAGAATGAAATTTATTATTAGAGGGTAGTTTTAGGGTTACTTATAGATCATTTAAACATAAACGATCAAACAAACCCAAATATTTGGCGCACCCCAAAAGTTACAACCCCCAAAGTCGAGGATTGTCAAGTATGTATATGAGAATACAGTAGAAAATTAAGTAAGTTTAAAGCGAGAACGAAATTTATTTTTAGAGGGTAGTTTTAGGGTTGTTTATAGATCATTTAAACATAATCGTTCAAACAAACACAAATATTTGGCGCACCCCAAAAGTTACAACCCTCGCCGTCGCGGATTGCCATGTATGTATATGAGAATACAGTAGAAAATTAAGTAAGTTTAAAGCGAGAATGAAATTTATTTTTAGGGGGTAGTTTTAGGGTTGGTTATAGATCATTTAAACATAATCGATCTAGGAAACAATAATATTTGGCGCACCCCAAAAGTTACAACCCTCGCCGTCGAGGATTGCCATGTATGTATGTGAGAATACAGTAGAAAATTAAGTAAGTTTAAAGCGAGAATGAAATTTATTTTTAGGGGGTAGTTTTAGGATTGATTATAGATCACTTAAACATAATCGATCAAAGAAATAAAAATATTTGGCGCACCCCAAAAGTTACAACCCTCGCCGTCGAGGATTGCCATGTACCTATGTATATGAGAATACAGTAGAAAATTAAGTAAGTTTAAAGCGAGAATGAAATTTATTTTTAGGGGGTAGTTTTAGGGTTGGTTATAGATCATTTAAACATAATCGATCTAGGAAACAAAAATATTTGGCGCACCCCAAAAGTTACAACCCTCGCCGTCGAAGATTGCCATGTATGTATATGAGAATACAATAGAAAATTAAGTAAGTTTAAAGCGAGAATGAAATTTATTTTTAGAGGGTAGTTTTAGGGTTGCTTACAGATCACTTAAACATAATCAATCTAGGAAACAAAAATATTTGGCGCACCCCAAAAGTTACAACCCTCGCCGTCGAGGATTGCCATGTACTTATATGAGAAATACAGTAGAAAATTAAGTAAGTTTAATGCGAGAATGAAATTTATTTTCAGAGGGTAGTTTTAGGGTTACTTATAGATCATTTAAACATAATCGATCAAACAAACACAAATATTTGGCGCACCACAAAAGTTACAACCCCTGCAACTAAAAATTGCTACAAATTTAAGTGTGAATTTCTTAAAAAATTACGTAAGTTTAAACCGTGAATGAAATTTATATTTAGAGGGTAGTTTTAGGGGTGCTTAGAGATCATTTAAACATAATCAATCAAAGAAACAAAAATATGTGGACCACTACAAAAGTTACAACCCCCGTAGTCGAGGATTGCTATCTATGTAAGTGTGCGTTGTATTTAATTCTCTCTCACCTGGATCCGCATACCTCAGAATAATACGTTTTAAGTATGTAATCTCAGTTCCAAAGATAGGTCGGTGAGCATTCAATCAAATAAGTAGTTGTAATTGACATTTTTACATGTGGAATTTGAAAAAAGGTTATTTTTGACATCAGCTTGAATATAAAGAATCTTTTACCAAATATAAGGATTGGGAAGTAGCTGCGATTAAAATTCTACCATGAAAGAATCGTCACACTGTTTTGGCAGATTTTAAAGTGACCATTGGGTTCGATACCTGCTTATATCAGTAAACCTAATCTGCGGTCATAGCTAGGACTATCTCCGCAAATATCAGAAGCGTGCCGACTGTGTGGGTAGGTACTCAAAATACTACAAAGAGGGTACAAGTTTCGTGTCGATTGTAGAATGTTAGCAATTCACCTTTCTAATAGTTGAGACATTCTTTTCTTTGAAAGGGAAGATATGCATTTCTACTTTCGCTATTCTTTGTAATTAGCGTTGGTGTAATAAAGACTAAATGACACTTTACGCACATACATACGTAAGTAGCTCTATAGGAAAGTAGGTAAGTGAAAAGCACGGAGTCATCTCCACCAAATATACATACAACACACATACATACTGCCGACATATACGAAGTAGCAGTCCGGGGTCGCAGCTGCCGCGCCTGCAGCAAACGCTGATAACATCACGGCCGCCCTTATGCATTCAGCGAGATTTGAAAGAGATTTCTGATAACATTCTAGGCCCGTGTTTTGGCATGACAGTCCTCACGATAACGAACGCAGCCCCACAATGACGCGACCAACTCCAGAGGGCTCGTCTCTCGATTGAACGGGATGTTTATGTGGAGGGTTTGTATGTATGTGGTGTACACTCCGCACTTTGAATGTTGAACTTTGTTGCATTTTATTACGCTGGCTAACGAAAACTAACTTACCACACTAATTGAATGTACTGTACCTGGTAGTTACCGATTAAGTTGTCTTCTTGTGGTTTAATTATTTGTTTTTCACTATTATAAGTTCTTTGCTCCTACTAAAAGAAGCACCTGGCCCATAAGAGCGGTGGAAATAGGGGCGTGCGGGGCCCGGAGTCTTAAATCTCGTCCCTTGACTCGGCTCTATTCTGAAGAAATTACGAAAAATCCTATTCTACGAAACTAATTCTGCTAACGCTCCAAGACTGCCTAAATCGCGCGTTTCGAAGTGAAAATCTCGCTCTGCGTCACACTGGAAATCAAATTAAACGTGAAAGGGAACATACTCCCCAAATGGAGAAATCAACGAATGTGAACTGGCTTGTTCAAAACTGAGAAATTCATAATGATCAATGAAATACTGGTTGCCGGATCTTTATATGCATTACAACTTACAATACAATATTCATTTTTTTTGGTTTTTTAGTATTACACTTTTCCAAATAGAATTCTATATACTTTTTAATCTTTTTAGATTAAAATATACAAGGTGTTCTATTTAAAAAAATGAGGTTAGGTCCAACAACTTTTTGCCTGACCCCGCGTATACTTATTGTGAAAACGGCACATTATTCAACAACAACAAACATGTTTCTGTCTGTCTTTTAACTAAGAATGTAAAAGCTAATTCTAAAATTGACAGTTTTTTGATTTTCCTCCGAATCTGTTAAGAGAGCGAATATTTTCAAATTTTGATTTTACCATTTTAATTTTTACCCAAAAAGAACACACGACGCCTATGTTACCTTTTTGATAACAGTAACAAACACGGGGATACTTAATATAACAAAAATAACTAAACGCTCTCGAAAATACTTTCATGTTCAAATCACGCCCCTGGGCAATAATAATTCGATCAAATGGTCAAATTATGGAAAAATTACGCAATTAAAGAGTAATTATCATGCTGGACAGAAAACCAGTTCCGTTTCTTTCCGAAGATACGCAAAAAAACCGAAATTTGCGGATTTGTTTTTATTTTTTCGGATGCTATTGAACAGAAACAAATAAGAAACACTTTCTCATT